TTACTGGTAAGGGCTATGGCCATGTCTGAGCTAAAGCCTGCTCTTTGGTAGAAACTTTTCTGCACTCCTTAAGAAAAGGGCAGCCTTTTGGCAATAAGCCATTCTCCTCTGCAGAGGGCATAAGCTTGCTGAAAGGGGTCAAATAAAAAGCTGGCCACATCGCACCTGGGAAACGCCCCTCAGACATAAAGAAAAGAGAAGGGTCGGGTCATTTTTGTCAAAAGGTCAATAACATGGATCACTTTTGCAATAAGACCTGGTTTTCTGATCATCTACCCTTGGAGATACAATTTGGAGATACATTTAGAGGTTATATCCTCTGTTAAAAACTAGTAAAATAATGTGTTATTAGCAAACCTTGGAGTGGTGGATATGCTCTCCATCTTGAAAATTAATAGTGCCAAAAGTATCTGTAGGGCTTTTTGTCGTGTGCTTTTCGACAGACCATTGTTCATTTTCATTACTGTTGGCAGCTGAGATGGTCCAGGTATAATCTGTCCCATGATGGTCTCCAATCAGTCGCCCACAGTAACACCTTAAATTTGGGATAAAAACCAATTTCAAAACAGAAAACACACAATTTCAGAATATAAAATAGATATAATGTTTCCACATTTTTCTAAGGTAATGTATAGATGACATATACTAACAATTTTTAAAACTTCACATTAAGATTTATATGAGATTCATAACACTGGATTGTCTTCTAAGTTCAGAAACACCCCTCAGTGGTTCTCTCCCTTGGCTGCACATTAGAATCACTTGGGGAATGTTTAAAAAAATACCAAAAATCTCTTGCACACCCATGTTCATAGCAGCTTTATTCACAATGGCCAAGAGGTGGAAGCAACCCAAGTGTTCATTGACAGATGAATGGATGAAGAAGATGTGTATATATACACAATGGAATATTATTCAGCCTTAAAAGGGAAGGAAGTCCTGTGATACGATACAACATGGATGAACCTTGAGGACATGATGCTAAGTGAAATAAGCCAGTTGTAAAAAGACAAATACTGTATGATTCCACTTATGAGGCACCTAGAGCAGTCAACTCCACAAAGAAAGTAGAATGGTGGTTGCCAGGGGTTGGGAAGAAGGGCCAGTGAAGACCTATTGTTTAATGGACACAGAGTTTCAGTTTTGCAAGTTGAAAAAGCTCAGGAGGTCTGTTACACAATAATGTGAATATACTTAACACTACCGAACTGAACATTTAAAAATGGTTAAAATGGTAAAAAAAAAAACAAACATTAAATTGTATATTTTAAATAGGTATAGTTTATTTTGTGGCAATTATACCTCAAAAAAGTTGTTTTTAAAAAAACTAAAAATCTCTAACATACAAAACTTAAGGAGAGTAAGAAAATGTCCTCATGTAGGATATAATATGCACATTAAAAGGAAGGACTGTTAGGGACCAGCCTGGCGGCGTAGTGGTTAAGTTTGCGCGCTCCGCTTCGGCGGCCTGGGGTTCGTGGGTTTGGATCCCAGGCACACACCTATGCACAGCTCATCAAGCCATGCTGTGGCCGCATCCCATTTACAAAATAGAGGACGATGGGCACAGATGTTAGCTCAGGGCCCATCTTCCTCAACAAAAAGAGGAAGATTGGCAACAGATGTTAACTCATGGCCAATTTTAACAAAAAAAAAAAAAAAAGGACTGTTAATCAATGCAAAAAAACATGCAGCTTCAGAGAAATATGTAAACATAGAACTATCCTGAGAAAAGAGCCATGAAAGAAACTTGACTATAAACATAAATTAATAATAAATTATATATGTAATATTTTAAAGAGAGGAAAATTTAATAATGTTCTTGCAAATAATTAGCAGTTTTGGAAACTATTTCATATACATAGCCATAATTTCTACTGTAGAACAAAATAAACTAAGAAAATTAAAAGGTTAAATCTTTTTTGTGTGTGTGTGTGAGGAAGATCAGCCCTGAGCTAACATCTGTTGCCAATCCTCTTTTTGCTGAGGAAGACTGGCCCTGGGCTGACTTTGTGCCCATCTTCCTCTACTTTATATGGGACGCCACCCTGGCATGGCTCAACAAGCGGTGCGTTGGTGGGTGCCGGGGATCCGAACCTGCGAACCACGGGCCGCCAAATCAGAGCACACGCACTCAACCACTACGCCACCCAGCCAGCCCTAAAAGGTTAAATCTTTTTAAAACTAAAACTACATAAAAATGAACAAAATATAACAATAATCACATTTGTGAAAGAATAATAAACTTCTCATCTTTGATGAATTAGAAACAATCAGAAGGAAAAGTTAAAATTTGAATATATAGAACTTGAAAACTTTCTACAATGAAAAATCATGCATCTGCAAACAAAGAAAATTATTTGCATCAAATATGTCACATCATATACCTATTGCATACAAAGAGATTATTCAGCTTTATAAATGACTCAGGGTTTTTTTTGTGTAAAAAGCAACATAAGAACATGTACAAGTGATGGGGTCCAACTAAGCAAAGAAACATGAAGAGAAAAGTCAGAACACAGAGGATAATTTTGAGGTTCCGTATGAAGGAGGTTTTGACTCAAAGAAAGGAGAAATAATCCCAAATGTATAGAATACATATAATCAGGATCTACTAGTGAGAAATGTGTCATCTGGTCATCTTTTGGAGTGAGGATCACTCTTCAAAATGAAAAAGCATCGGGGCGGCCCCGTGGCATAACAGTTAAGTGCGCGCAATCCGCTGCTGGCGGACCAGGGTTCAGATCCCGGGCGCACACCGATGCACCGCTTGTCAGGCCATGCTGTGGTGGTGTCCCACATAAAGTGGAGGAAGATCGGCATGGATGTTAGCTCAGGGCTGGTCTTCCTCAGAAAAAAAAAAAAAAAGAAAAAGCATCTGTTCATAAACTGGATGATTCATCTCGCTGTGGCTTTTTCTAAACAGAACATAAATGGAGGCAACCACAACTCACACCTGGAGAAATAATTCACTACTCTTTCATAAGACCGTTCTTCAGTTTGAACCCACTTTGTCTAAGTATTTTTCTAGTCTAATCCATTTTATTTGAGTCTATACAGTTTTAGTCTAGTTTTTAACCAGCTCGTTAAATTGTGGCAAGGTGGCCCCATAGAAGAAATCAATCATCCCTCAAATTAAAAAAAAAAGATTCCATGTTCATCCCTTTAGCTATAACTTTCAGAAGTCCCAAATTATATATCGCTAACAAGTACTCACCTTGAGAATCAACCTTATACAGATGCCAATTGCCAATTCCCTCCCAAATTGTTTTTATAAATTCTATAAAATACCCATCAAAATCCTAAAAGAATTTTTCAGGGAACTTGACAGAGTGATTCAAAAATTCATATGGATGTATAAAAGTGTACAAAAGAGTAAAATGATTTTTAAAAAGAAGAATAAAGTATAGAAGACTTGCCCTATCACATACCAAGATATCTTATAAAGCGATAATAATGAAACAGAGTGGCATTTACCAGGACCAGGAGAAGTAGATCAATGACGCCGAAAAGAAAGCTCCGAGACAGAGCCATAGACAAATGGGAATTTTGTACACAACAGAGATGACATCAGAAATGAATGAGGCTAGGACAGTCTGCTCAGTAACCGATAATGGAACATTTGGCTCCTCATACGGAAAAAAATCAAACTAGGACCTAGCTGGGTGCAAAAATTATAAGTTTTAACTGTTTTTAATTTTTGGATAGTGTGAAAATAGATGTTCACATTAGTTACCTCTGAAGATTGTGAGTTTGGAAGAGTATTGACAAGGAGAGGTTCTAGAGAATAAAGCAGGAAGCAGGAGGAGTTAATGAAGCCTTTTCACTTCTTTTTGGTATATTCTTATGTTTGTTTTGAATTTTAACAAAATTTTAAATAATTACTAAAAAGAAAACAAAAGAATTTGAGGAAAAGGTGAAAGAGGTTAGCCAAATGGAAATTTTGCCCCTCAGCGTTATGGACAGAATTCTTTCCCCCAAAATTCATATGTCGAAGGCCTAATCCCCAATGTGACTCTATTTGGAGGTAGACCCTATAAGGCAGTAATAAAGTTTAATAGGACTGGTGTCTTTATAAGAAGTCTTTCACGGAGGAAAGGCCACGTGAGGGCATAGCGAGAAGGTGGCTGTCTGCAAAACAAGAAGAGAGGCTTCACCAGAAACCAACCCTGATGGCACCTTGATCTTGGACTTCTAGCCTCCAGAACTATGAGAAAATAAATGTCTGTTGTTTAAGCCACTCAGCCTGTGGTATTCTGTTATGAGAGCCTGAGCTGACCAATACACCCAGCACCTCTACCTTCCTCTCCTCCCCTATCTGTTTATAGTATTTTCCTTTCCCCATGATTTGCTACACTTTGGATTCTGAATTTTTTTTTTTACAAAAATAAATTTAACATTGGTTCAATCCATAATATAAACTTTAGGCTATGATCAGAACTAAGGAAATTTCATTTTCCTCCACTTACAAAAGAGAAAGGTAAAACCAGTTATTAACACACAGTTTAAAATGAAAATCACCGTTAAAATTTGTATTGCACTGAAGAGTTATTTTTTCCCATAAGGTTGTGTGATATTGTGATTTATAATAAATATATATTTGGTCTTTGTCCCTGTTTCTGGCACAGAGCTCCTAAAATCCTTGGAATTTCCTAAGTGATAAGAGCCATAAAGGTGCTGGAAGTTGAATCAATCGCCAATGGCCAATGATTCAATCAGTCATGCCTATGTAATAAAGCCTCCATAAAAACCTACAAGGATGCCATTTCCCACATACGTTGCACTATGTATCTCTTCCATCCCGCTGTTCATCTGTATCCTTTATAATATCCTTTATAACACCCTGGTAAATGTAAGTAAATGTTTCTCTGAGTTCTGTGAGTCACTTTAGCAAATTAACTGAAACGTGGAGGGGGTTGTCGGAACCTCCGATCTATAAGCCATTGGTCAGAAGCACAGGTGACAACCTTGACTTTTGACTGACATCTGAAGAGGTGGGGCATGGGGGAGTAGTCTTGTAGGATTGAGCTCTCAACCTGTGGGATCTGACACTATCTCCAGGTAGACAGTGTCAGAATTGAGTTAATTACTTTGTGGTGTTGGGAAAAAAACACACATCGGAATTGGTGTCAGAATTGGCGCTTGGTATGCACACACATCACTTACAAGTCATAGATCAAATACAGTGCTGTATGTGCAAAAAGCATCTTTGTTAACCAAATAAAATGTTAAGATGGTAAAATGAAAATTTAATGCTCTACAAGTATTTCAACTGGCAAAAACTCTTGCTAAAGGCCCTTAGCATTTACATGTCTCAATAACTCAAGTAATCTATTACATTCAAGTAATCACTCTCCTTCAAAAAAATCTCAGACTTTTTTTTTAAAACTTCCTTTGAAAAGGTAAATAGGATGCACCAATAAAGCCCTTTCATAGAGTCCATTCAAGATGTAACAAAACTGTCCCAATGAGTTTTAAACAGAGTGCTTAAAAGTTCAAAGAAATCTTATTTAAGTCTTACCTGATTAAATTCTGGCAGACCTGGCATCCTGCGGTACATCTAAATTAAAGAAATAAAACCTGTGTTACTTTACTGATATATTTGAAAACATATTTAATGCTTATACAGTAAATATCTGTTATCTTCCATGGTCTGGAAATCAGGGTTTGCTGAGTACTCATACATCATTTCCCAAATACTCCCCTACGTCATTTACCAAATATAATTACATTGTAATAATTAGCATCTAATTAACAGAACACTGAGTTTGGAGCCAAAATATCTGAATTTAAATCGCAGTGATTTAACGATTCCTCTAAGCTCCAGTTTCACATCTGAAAATAATATCTGCCATAATGTTATTAAAAGGATTACCTGAGATAATATATGTAAGTGTCTTACAGTACCTGGTGCATTGCAATATGTATAGTAATGATAGCTATTATTATTATTACACTATGAAGATAACACAGAATTCTTGAGAATTAAGTAAGAAAATATACAATTTTTTTGGTGTGTGTGAGGAAGATCGGCCCTGAGCTAACATCTGCCAATCCTCCTCTTTTTGCTGAGGAAGACTGGCCCTGGGCTCACATCTGTGCCCATCTTCCTCTACTTTATATGGGACGCCGCCACAGCATGGCCTGACAAGCGGTGCATTGGTGCACACCTGGGATCCGAACCAGTGCCACCAGCAGCGGAGCATGTGCACTGTTACGTGCTATGCCATGGGCCCGGCCCCAAAAACGTACAATTTTAAAACCATAAAACACTATTAAATCAAGGAAAAGTTGGTATGATTATAATTATTATCCTTATTAATCTTTCTTTTTTAGATTCAAAAGAACTTTCTGGTTTTGGGGGTTAGCGTTGTGGTCATCAATGATCATATTTTAGGTGTGAAGAAGTTTTAACTAGAAGAGAATCTAGTTAAAATAATGGAAGAAAAGGTAGTGTTCACAGACTCAGAATCATTCTAAATTATTCAGAAATGAATATTCAGGCCTTTCACTTCTTCCTGTACCAGACTTTTGGGAATGTCTTTTCTCAGAAGCTTCATTTCAATACATTCAAAATAAGAAGAAAAAAGACATTGGAATCAAGTCTATCAGATCTGTTTCTTATTAGGAGCTACAAAAAGAATCAATAAAAAATAAACTTTTATCTAAATTTAAAATAGTGAACTACCACCCTTTTCCTATGCACCGTAAGAAAGAAAACCACATGAAAGCTACAATTTTGAGACCCTTAGAAGGATCTAAGAAAAAGGCTGGCATAGGAGGAATAGCCATAGTTATCCATCAACTATTTTTACAATCACACAGAAATAAAAGCTGCTTTTTTTCCCAAGACGTAGTAAGTCTTGGAACATTCATGGAATTATGATCACTTATATTCTTCTTGAGTCCAAGGGCTAATGACTAATAGTTTATCACTTTTGATGAGGTTCAAGGTGATTGTGAAGATGATTTTCTGCTTACAGAGCAATAGAAGCTGCCTAGGCTCAGTGTGCCTCCTACTGCAGCCACCATCATGTGACAAGATGTCACAAAAGATGAAGGGAAAAAATAAGACTACTTTGTTTTTTTATCCTGTAAGCATCTTATCAACAGGTAAAATGAGCATTTCTAATCATAGGGTTTACAAGCCACAGGTAATTCAATGAGGGTGGGACTAGTAAATATTTAACAAAGGCAAGGAACACCATTTTCATCACCCCCAAAGAGCTAGAATTTTAGTGACCTCACCATGCTACCCTTTATAGGCATATAGCTGTGATTTCTAAACTTCAAATGAGTATAAGGACTCTAAATATGCTCGAAGGAATCTAAAAATAGAGTAGTCCCCCTGATTAAAATACTGCTCTTCTATTTTCTTTTCCTTTTAATTCCTTTTCCCCAAGGGCAATGCCACTCAATCTTAATTTCATGGACCCAATTACCTTGGGGAATTTTCCGTAGCCCTTTCTTCCCTTATCTTTCATTGGCTGCTGTTTTGAACTTTGTTCTACAAGCAGAGCTTCCAAAGGGTTGTCAAGAACTCAGAGTAGCCAAACTCAAATCTTTCCATTCTGCTGCCCATTATCTGCTCAAAGAAAAAGCCTATGGGAGGAAAAAGGAACTAAAACTAACTGCTTGCATAATCTGAGCACAGTGTCTTGGAATATCCCAATTACTATTTTCCACAGACTCTTTAGTTGGGGATAAGGAATAGTCACAATATTTTGTGCTTTTTTTGTTGTTGTTGTTTTTGTGAGGAGCCCTGTGCTAACACCTGCCAATCCTCCTCTTTTTTTGCTGAGGAAGACTGGCCCTGGGCTAACATCCGTGCCCATCTTCCTCCACTTTATATGGGACGCTCCCACCACATGGCTTGCCAAGTGGTGCGTCGGTGCATGCCAGGGATCTGAACCGGTGAACCCGGGGCCGCGGCAGCGGAGCGCGTGCACTTAACCACTTGCGCCAACGGGCTGGCCCCGATAGTCACAATATTTTGAATATTCAGTATTCAGAAGTTGTAAATTTTTTATCCAAACCTGGTGAAATGGATGTAGCACTAGATATTTCTATCCTCCCACTAAGAGGAACAGGAGCATCAAAGATAAAACAACAGAGTGAAATCTACCACAATATTAACAGTGGCTCCACCAGGGTGATGCCTTTATGATGAAGTTTTTTTTTCTTTATACTTCATTATTTTTTTTTTAGTTTTTATTTCTTTATTTTTTTCCCCCAAAGCCCCAGTAGATAGTTGTATGTCATAGTTGCACATCCTTCTAGTTGCTGTATGTGGGACGCAGCCTCAGCATGGCCGGAGAATCGGTGCCTTGGTGCGCGCACGGGATCCAAACCCGGGCCGCCAGTAGCGGAGCACATGCACTTAACCACTAAGCCACGGGGCCAGCCCCCTTCATTAAGTTATTAAACAGACATTTCTCAGGAGCCTACTATACAGCAGGCAGTGTCATAGGCACTGGGGTTGGAATGACATACAAAATTGACAAGGTCCCTATTCTTACCAGAAAATCTGGTAAGAATTTCTACAATAATCATGTACTATTTTTATAAAGATGAAGAAATAAACATCAATTAAAATAAATACTAAAGTTATAGATATTATCAAATCCTCTAAACAAGTCGTATCTCTAAGTTTCCACAAACAGTGTTCCACGTAGTGTTGCTTTAAAAGGAAAATATAATTAAAAATTGTACCTGTGAGGGTCTTTTGAGCTGGGTATGATTTTGTTACATTCTCTCTTGTCGAACACCCCTTCAATCCAGGATTTCTGGGACTGAATAGAAAGTATCGTTATTTTTATATTCCAATTAAGTGAGAAAGTAGTGTAACCACAGTAGTTCACTTAGGCAATATATATTTAAATGTTGTGGACGCTAATTAAAAAGCCAAGACCAACTCCAGACAGGCCAAGCACTTACTGGCTTCTACTACAGACAACATAGACACAAATAAGCCAAGTGTGAACACAAAAATATTCCCAAAGTTAATTGGTCTATAATCTCATCTTAAGTGAAAGATTCCTAAATGCACAAAACTCTAGCAAGGAAGTAAAGATATTACTGATGTGTTCTCTTAATTCTGCTAAAAGTCACTTTTAAATCTTGCACCATAGGGGCCGGCCCTGTGGCGTAGTGGTTAAGTGCGGCAGCCCAGGTTCGTATCCCGGGCGTGCACTGACGCACCGCTTGTCAGGCCATGCTGTGGCAGCGTCCCATATAAAGTGGAGGAAGATCGGCATGGATGTTAGCTCAGGGCCAGTCTTCCTCAGCAAAAAGACTAGGATCGGCATGGATATTAGCTCAGGGCTGATCTTCCTTAACAAAAAAAAAAAGAAAGAAATCTTGCACCATAATCCTATAGAGTGAATATCAAGCTCTCAAACTTCAAAATTCTCACTCATAAAGTACCACTTTGGCTAAGATTTCACAGACAGCTGGAAAGAGTGTCAGAGGAGTGATGTGACTTCGGCAAGATTCTGTGCAAGGATTTCAATCTAAAATGGTACCAGAGGATATGAAATGGAGAAACTCACGCACGCACTCTCAGAAGAACAAACTTAAGAACTGAGCGACTGATTTCCCGTAAATGATGATTTACAAAAGACCAAGACTTAACTCCTGACGGATGAACATCCACCAAGAATCACTCCCCATCCTCAAGTCGGTGAACTTATTGCTTGGACTCTGGATGGACGTCCCCCTCTTTGCACTCCCTGCCCATAAATACAGCCTGCCCCAAACTCTCATCTGACTCGCCTGTAGCTTGGTATAGCATGCGTTTCACAAACTGCAATTCCTCTGCTATTCTCGAATAAACTCAATTTCTGGTAATTTGAACTTGCCTCAGTTTACCTCTTTATTTAGGTTGACAACTCGATACACATTCTGTAAGCATAGTTTACAAGTGACCGTGTTGCTTCATGTTGCACAGCCTATAACTGTCCCTAAATCCAAGTGGGACACTGGTACTCACTCGTCTTCCTAATAAAATCTCTCCCATTCTACAAAACTCAAGTCATAGCCAAGCTCTTCCATAAGCTGTATTTAAGTCTAGAAGCAGAGG